ATGGAAAATAGGAGAGAAAATCAATGGTCAGATCCCACTATACTAAAACGGTATCGTTTTGGGCAAAGCTTCCCAAAGAAGCCACAATGGGTGTGCGACAACTCATCAAAAGCAAAAAGACACCTGTCCAGTCTATTTATTGCTGTAATAAAAATGAAACATGGAAACGCGAGCCAATCACGTCCAAGGTCAGTCTATCACCTAACTGACCTTGGGGGGTAACTGTTAACATCTGACCTGCGACCTAATTAAAATCGATTGTTACATACTCTTGGTTTATCTTAATTTGAGATCGACTTTATAACGTCAGCTTGAGACCCCGCGATTCAAGGGAATATAATAATTATAGATTCGTTATACACTGATAAAACATCCAATCAAATTAATTATTATATTCAGAACTTACGTCAGCGCCCACTTATTTCACCAATCATATGATATAGATTTGCTTACTCACTAGTTCATTAATTACTAAGGACCACTTAAGGGATGGTTTCATGATAACCTGATAAAGCTGACCTCAGTAACCAATGGAGATATGCCAGTAATGTATTTTTTCAGTTCGGCACTGGTGATTAACAAAACAAGAATGTGGATGATACTGGATTTTCTTTCCCTATAAATGGGTGTGAGATATCTTTAGAAAAGGAGGATGAACACTTTCATATTTCAAATATCTCATTTGATGAAACTTTTGTAATTTAGAAGTGATTATCAATAAAAATCTTATTTTCTCTTTATTCACTAAGTTAAATTAAATTGATTCTTACACTTTTGAACGTCAACAAAAATAATAAAAGAAAGTTGAGAGAAGAAACCATGTAAACAATTAGAAAGAGTCAAGGTTATCTCTAATAGCTTAACTTTATAACATTATACATTGACTACTTTTGTGTGCGAGAATAAGTTCATATCTATGAATTTAATTTTTATTGATATATTTCGTAATATTCAAAAGTATCATCCACTAATACGCCACTCATTCATACTTATTTATAATTTAAACTTATAATGCATTTCCAGCCCAGCACCGATAAAATATGAATCTACTAAAAGTGTTTCTATTGAAACATGGAATATTTTCTAATTTAATTACATAAATCAAATATTTATTTCATGGAAAATTTGGACTTGGATTCACAATCGTTAAAACTGTAATTTTGACTCCCTAATCTATTAAAACATTGTGAGATTGGATCATCGCGTTACCTAAAGTATTAATTAGAATGATAAAATGTCAGACTCTGTGTTTAAAATGTAATGACGCCGTTGTTTAAAATTTTTTAAAAAAAATAAGAAGAAGAAAAAGAAGAAGAAAATAGGTCTAAGAAATAGAAAAAGGAAAAAAAATTAAATCAATTGTCGTCTTCTTTAACCATGCCCCATATCTTGCATAAACCTACACATCTTTCTAAACAGGTCAAAAATGACCGCCCACCAAGATCCACCTATTAGTCTCATCCTCCAGGTCCAACATTTTTTTTTTTAGTATAATAACTTTATTTCATTATCGCATGCAATTAATTCTATTTATTGACATCTCAATTCTATTATTTATTTAGATAAATAATTATGAATAATGGAGTCCGGAGAATAAATGTAAATAATTTGTTAATCACAATGAAATGTGATTGTGAAATATATAACATGTTGATTTATTTTTGGACTATTCCTGGTCGTATGGACAAATGAGACATTAGATATCATTAGCATGGATTGACTATCATATATTGCACTCCTCCCTTTTGAACTGAGTAGTTGATCTCACAAACTAAGTATATGAACACTCCAATGGCCGTGTGTATGCTTGTTAGTTGAACGAGATTATTAGAGATCATCCATAGAGATTCTACGTGGGTGACTATTTCAATATTAGTGAATTATATCTCAATAACTATTGTGAAATTGATACTTTAGACTTGAAATCATCATGCAATCCCTCAATGAATGTATACTTTTGATTATACAACTTTAATCAAATTAATTCCAACAATTAAAAATAAAAACAAACACACAATAAAGATTTTGATTTGAAAACGTGAAAGATGACTAAAAATCTACAAAATAAGAAAACATAAAAATCTTGAAAATTTCGGAGGAAAACATGGTCGACATTTATGATTTCGCTTAACAGCCACCTAGTTAATTTCTCCGCAAACCAATTAACAAATTACTTATGTACGATATTAGACACGATTTTTCAAGTTTAGCAAATTACCCCTCTCGAGCAGAAATAACTCTAATTGATTGGTTTAATCTACTATATCTTTCTGTCGATTAAAACCAAACAACCACATTAAATTTTTTTGAAAATAGTTCGATGGATAACTTAGGGTTAGAGGTATATCTCTATTCCCTACAAGAACCTAGGTTTCTACTATTTTTGTCAAAAATGCACAATTTTCTCTCGAACGATATACAAAGTTCTAAACATAATTATTCATTGGCCACATGAATAGAAATGCAAGAAATAACAGTGGTAAAAACAAATGAAAATAAGTAATTTAACATTAAAGAGCAAATATTAAAATTAATTAAGGTTGTATTAAATTTCAACCCAAATATTTATCCCATTTTATCCAAATGATAAAAAGGAAAATATTTATAATACATTAAAAGTTTAGCAAAATAATGAAGAAAATACAAGATTATAGGGGGAAAAACCCCGTTTTGGTTAGATTTGTGAAGATGAAAATGTCTAACTCTTGATTTTTTCAATACTTTTCCAACTTCTTAATTGTTTCTCTTTGTGCTCTTGGTTTTGCCCCAAAAATGCTAAGAAAATCAAAAGAAAAGGAAAAGAAAAATGAAAGGAAAAGAGAAAGAAATTGAAACAAAAAAAAAAGATGAAAAGAAAAAGGAAAGAGGAAGAAGAAGAAGAAGAAGAAGAAGAAGAGAGAAGAAAATAATGAAAAGTGGATGAAAATGGCTTATAAAAGACTTTAAAAAGCGTCCCAAAAATTGCCCAAAAAGTCCTCAAAATTTGGCAAAAATAGCAAAACCGAGATGGGCAATTTCAATCATACCCTTAATAATTTGCATTCAAAGTCCTCCAACTTTCTAACTTGTGCACTTTGGTCCCCAACACAATTTTTCGTACGCTTTTGGTCCATTTTATCTTCTTTTTGCCTTATTCCTTTTCATTTGGGGTTTATGACCTACAAAAGCCAAAATTACCCAATTGTTAGTCGATATAGAGGTGTCAAGACGGATGGTCCGATCAGACCCGTGAAAACTGGCCCGGATCGACCCGAGACCGTGAGCCTACCCGTGAACCTAGTGGGAAGTTCACGGGTCAAGGAGGTGTGACCCACGAGTTTCGCGGGTTGCACCTTCACAGGCCGCGGTTAACCCTCTGGCCCGTGATTTTTTTTTTTTTTTTTAATTCGAAAAAAATGGGGGAGAGTTAAGATTTAAGTAGGTGCCCATCTAGTTGAGATGTACTTAAACTATAAATTATAATAAAAGTATGTGCCAACTTAGTTGAGATGTACTTATGCTATAAATATTTGATAATAGTAATTAGAAATGTTGTTATTTGTTTAAGTTAAATTTAATTTTGTAAAGTTATAAATAGTTCATGTAANAATTCATGTAATATTAAATTTAAATTATATATAAACAGTTTTTGGTATAAATATGAATTTATCATTTTATTCAATTCTTAGTTTACATTTAACAAAAAAAATATTTTTTGCTATAAATATGAAAAATTCTATATTTTTATAATTTTATTTATATAATAATACGGGCCAAATCGGAACAAACCGCAACCCACGCTACCCGTGATCCACATGGGCTCGACCCGGATGGGTGAGTGGGCGGGTCTGGGTTGTAGTCCAAAATTTGTGGGCCGGCTTGAAATCGGCCCGGAACCCGTAGTGGGTGGGCTTTTTTTTCACGCGGACCGTTACCGGGCTCGTATGTTGGCGGGCCAACTCGGCCCGAACCACCCGAATTGACACCTGTAAGTCGATATATGCTCTTTTCATCAATAAGAAACTCATTTAAGTATTAAATACATGTGCAAAAACACACTTATCGTGTGTCATCTAACTCTAGAAACTTTAGAAGGCAAAGGAGTCCTCCAGTTTTGCTTATTCATGAACTTTTGTGGTAATTTTTTCTCACGTTATATGGATATGACGAACTTAAGAGGCAAAAAAAGTCGCTTACATAATCTTTTGGGGCCTTATGTTTTTGTTTCTCGTCATATACTTCTCTGCATTGTTGTGATTGAACTTAATAATGCAATTTTCTTGATAAAGGGAAAGCCAAATGTTAATATATAGCCCCTATTTGGTACACATAAGAATTTTAATTCTCATTCTTCTACTCATTTTCAATCACACATCTTTCAATAAAATAATAATTTCCATCACATCAATAATTTTTCCTTCCTTGTCAACCACACATTTTCCATCAATCTACTATTCCAAAATATATTCTTCCAAAATAATGTGGATCAAACACACCCATAGTGTTTCAATAAATGTATTTAATAAGAATAATATTGGAATATGACATGAATGACAATAATTTTTTTAAACAATTTTAAAATTTTAATAGGAATAGAATTAGAATATGATAAATACATACAAATTCGGCAAAAATTGCAGTTACAGTACCAAACCTTTCAACTTTTTTGCAGACTTTGTTCAAACCTTTCATTTGTGCCACCCACAGTACCAAACATTTAAACAATTCACACACGGAATCCAAATTGACATAAACCGTTAATTGACCAATAATTAAATGTCTGACCAATTGTTGATCAATTTTAAAAGGGTAAATATGTAACTTTACATTTTTCTTATGAAAAAAGTTAAAATCAAATAATTAAATTAAAAAAACTCCTTCATCTTCTTCCCCCCCACCCACGCCCCCCCTCCCTCGAAACCCTCTCTGCCCATTTTTTCCACCCGTCATCCATCACTGTAGATAACAGTAACAGTGGTACTAACTCCGCCACCTTTGCCGTCGCCACCACCTTCACTGCTATGACTTCATCGTCATCCACCTCCTATCCTTCCCCTCCTAAAGACGTTATCGTCAAAATCAATGGCCAAGATTACTTTAAGGAACGCACTAAAACTAGCGAGAATACTAGTACTAATAATGCAGGTAGAATGTGGAAGGACTCGACTTACAATTTCTCCAACGACGCCGTTATGAGAGTTGCTGCGAACAACAAGGATTTCTATTTCGTAACTGAGTCTTTGTTATCTCGTATAGCCGAGAGTCTGAGTACCAACTACGGCCAGTTGACGCCAAAGGAAGTCCGGGTATCGTTCAACGACAACATGGCCCACTAATTTTGTTGAATATGAGGAGAGACTTGGTCAAATCTTTTTTCCTGTGAGTGGATTTGAGGTTGACCGAGATGGAATATGGTGTAAAGGCATCCAGAAACTTCGAGTTAAATGTTTCATTAGCCACTGAACTTTGGGTTGTGTCACGACTTACTCACCGAACTTTCAAAATTATCTCGGTGGCACTGAACTTCACTCCGTCCAACTCCATCACTCGCCAATTTCAAACCGTTAACAGACGCGTCTACGTGGATGATGGAAAAATGACTTGGCCGGTTAAATCCTTCCAAATAAGTGATAACTGGCCAACTCATTAGCCAAACAAGAAACCCAACCCAAACACGCCATTCCCAATTTGATAAAACACGATTCTTCCTATTCTTCTCCCCAAACCCAAGCCATGAAATCACTGTGAAACCCAATTCATTCTCAAGAACCCAAAACCCCCAATTGTTCCAATCGGCGTGATAAAATCGGAGCTGTAACTTCCCAAACCAGTAGAGAGCCCAACCAGAAAATAGGTGTATTTGATTTTGAGAAGCTCGACTTCGAGCAAGAGCTTGCACATGGACGGAACTGCTGACGGTAAGTTAGAGTTTTTGGAGATGTTTGTCTTCTTCATAATGAGGAAGCATAGATAATGAAAAATTATAATTCATTGTTGAAGCTCAGCCATAGTTATTTTTGAAGCTCTGCCAATTTTTGAAACTCTGTATTTTCCACCGATACCTAGAAACTTCAGTTATTGCTTCAAAAACTATGGATACCTAAAATCTTCAGTTATTGCTTTAGTTATTAGAAATCAGTTTCATTATTGCTTTGCTTTGGTGTTGAGCTTTGCTTTGCTGTTGATACGTAGAAACTTCAGTTTCATTATTATACTTGTAGTGTTGTTTAATATATACTTCAGTCCGATGTTGGCCTCCAATTATCTTTGATTTGCATTGCTGTAGAAACCTAGAACGTACTTTGAATATTTTGCCTATGTAATTGTCCAGAACAATAAGTATTTTGCTTCCAAACTTCGAATATTTTGCTTCCCATGTTGAGAAATCAATTCCTGAATGTAATGTGGTTGTATTGTATGACAGATTGTGAGGAAGATCCGGACTTCGTAGAATCTGACCACGACTTTGTGTCCGACGATGATTCCATCCAATACGATATAAACATAACTAATGTGATTGAAATTGGATCCGGCGGCCATGACAATGAAGTTTAGGAAGAACAAGAAGAAGGCAACGAAAACGAGTTGGATGAATTAGACCTACCGTCGTCAGAGGATCTACTCTCCCAATGTTCATCAGATGAGGATGGTAGTTATCACTTTCCTCAATTCACTTTTGATCAGGACATAATTATTCCTCAGTTCGAGGTAGGACAAATATTCAGTTCTGCAGTAGAGTTTCGGGAGACGGTAAGAATGTACGGTGCATTGAATGGGTACAACGTAAAATTTAAGGCAAATGAGGAAAGAAGAGTGCAAGGAATTTGTAAATTGGGTTGCAAATGGAGAATATGGGCTTCTAAATTTGATGGATCGAAGAGGTTGTAAGTAAAATCTAACACTTCCGAGCATACTTGTAGCCGGGATCAGTTCAATAGACACTGTAATTACATGTTCTTGACACGTCGATATATTGAGCAATTCAAGGCTGACCCGGACTGGAAGACTGAGTTAATTTTGGCAACAGTGAAGAAGGATCTCCGTACAGATATTAGTCGAAATGTAGCATAGAAAATGCGGAGATATGCAAAAGAACTGTTAGTAGGGACTTTACAAGAGCAGTTTAGGGGATTGAGGTCTTATGCAGCCGAGGTACTCCATACAAATGTTGGCTCGACAGTCATTATTGCGCTACGGGATCAGATCTTCCAAGGAATTTACATATGCTTCAATTGTTGTAAGATAGGTTTTCGAGATGGTTGTAGGAAGGTAGTAGGTGTTGATGGGTGTCATTTAAGGGGTTGTTTCAAAGGTATAATGTTAACTGCAGTTGGTATCGACGCTAATGACTGCATCTATCCCCTTGCCTATGCAATTGTTCAGAAAGAAAATACAGCAGCTTGACGATGGTTCTTGATCTATCTGTCTGAGGATATTGGGATTGGAGATGGAAGATGTTGGACTTTAATGACCGACAGACAGAAAGGGTTACAAAATGTGATAAACGAGTTGTTACCTATGGCCGAGCATAGGTTTTGTGTACGTCATATGTACACTAATTTCTTTAGTGCGGGGTTTAAAAGTAAAATCCTAAAGAATTACTTACGGTGGGCTGCTAAATCGACCACTCTTGCAGACTATCAACTTTGGATGCAACAAATTCATTAACTTAGTGAGGATGCATACAAATGGCTTATAGAGAGGAACCCGCAAGAATGGAGTAGATCACATTTCTCAGTTGAATCAAAGAATGACATTCTACTTAACAATCTCCGCGAAGTGTTCAACAAGACATTGCGGTCTGATAAGGAAATGATGATTCTGTCGCTGTTAACTTCATTACAATTAACCTCCATGCATCGGATTCGAAAACGTCGAGACACGATGATGAGGTGTGTAGGATGTTTGTGTCCGAAGATCAATAAGAAATTGCACAAGATAGTCGAGCAATCACGGGAGTGCATATTGCACTTTTCTGGTGGTTCAAAGTGGCAAGTTGAATGTAGCATTGGGACATACGTTGTCAACCTAGAGGACAGAACTTGTACATGTAGAGAATGGGAACTTACGGGCATACCTTGCATGCATGCGGTGGAAGTAATACGGGAATGTACAAATGATCCGGAAGACATCGTTCACAACTATTATACGATAGAGATGTATATGAGGTGCTACAATAATATCATGCATCCAATTAATGGTATGCGGTTATGGCCACAGTTGGATATGGTCGATATCATTGCACCATCGTGGACTGTACCACGAAAGGGCAGGAGACAGATAAATCGGAGAAAAGGAGCAGATGAAGATGTGATAGTGCATTCACAAGAGAAGACCTATATTCGGAGAAAGGGGAGATTGAAGATGACATGCACATTATGCGGACAACAGGGGCACAACAAGCAATACCACAACAGAGTGCATGTACCAGATTTTGTAAGTACAATCTTGATTTCGTTAATGTTATAAATCGATTGATGGACTATAACTTTTTTTTTGGTTCAACATGATTGGTATGAAGGATATTTAGAAACAGTTGACGGGTGTTGCGACATAGTGTTGGATGAACGTGTGAGTAAATGTTTCATTGAGTAAATATAGCTTTTTTTTTTTTATTAAGTACATGATAGATGCACATGATGTGGTAACATTTTATCTAATTTCTATCATGCAGGGAAAAATGTTGCCAGAAAGGTGACAACGAGCATCTCAGGACTACAACCCCAGAAATGAACAGACTTTCCACTTCATTCCAATGCCGATGGTGACTCGTGAAGCGCGATCCAGCAATCTGAAATCTGGTCCAGCATCAACAACGTGCACGCAGTCAGTTATTCCTGAAGTTCCAACCGATGTTGTGAACTTTGACGATGTTGTGGACGACTGGAATGATCAGGAAGATGCGGAAGCTGCCTATTCATCTGCTTCAAGGGCAGGAAAACGACAACGCTAAAAAATGATGTTTGAAGTCAACTTAGTTTATCTTGTAGATATGATAAAAAATGGGAGTTGCTGAAATTTTTGACTTCTATTCTATTGTGGGAGTTATTAGCCTTTTGTCTTCTAGTCTGTTCTTTTTTGTTGACAGACTTTTAGATGGTGTTCCCACATGTGCAAAAGCCACACAACATTGGTTTTTTTGGAAATTGGTATTGATATATGATTTTGTCCAGTGTAAAGGAGATAGAAGATGTAAATTGTAAACATATTGTTCTACATATGATTTTGTCAAGCAATATAATGTTTTTACTTTTTAGCTAGTTTGGGTTTTTCCCCTGGTTTTGGTGGCAGAAATGCTTGATTGTAATGAAATTTCTCCATTATTGTGTTTTTAGATCTATGGACTAGAAGAAAAGAAACAAAATCTAAAACAGAAATAATGAAACTTGTTGAGTAAAAATGTGATATTCATCTTTAAAAGAGGTTGCTATAAAACTTGTTCACAGAATAATATTACTTCTATGATTCTAGGTTAGTAAATTCTATCATTTAAATTTTACTTCACTAAATATACTATAGCAGTTATTTCTTTTCCATAAAATAGTGTGAAATATTAAAACTCATAAAGGACTTCTGAATTACAGCTACATTGATTCTGAATTAAAGGCAAGAAATTGAAATTACAAACATAAATACTAAATTAGGGATACATTGCTTCTGAAAACATACAAGTTACAAACATAAACATACAACTACTGCACAACACAAATTCTACAATTACATATTGAAATTACAAACATAAATTCTAAATTAGGGATACATTGATTCTGAAAACATTCAAGTTACAAACATAAACATACAACTACTGAACAACACAAATTCTACAATTACAGCTACATTGATTCTGAAAACATTGAAGTTACAATCCCAAACATACAACAACTAAACAAGACAAGCTAGACAATAACGTCAATGGTTTACTTTCACAAATCTCCTCCATTTTGTTTCTCGTTCTCCTTCTCCCCTTTCCCTTGCGAAAACTAAACTGGACAGAGATATCAACGTCATTTTCTTCGGTTATTCTTCAACAAACCCGACAACTTGCCGACTTCCGATGTAGCACTTGATTGACCATCATATTGACAATACTCGTCTTCGTCGAGCCACTTGAAATGAGTGCAATCGTTAGTACAACATAAGGATAACCGACCTAAGTTTTTAGTCCTCTTTTCAACCTCCATGCATTTCTGAATTCCTTTGCCGCATACTGGGCACGGTTTCTTCGTCGGACAATCCAATAAATAGTGGCCTGATTTCCGGCAACCATGACAAATCCCCTTCTTCTTTCCTCCCATTATAATCTGTTGATGCAGCCAAAAGAGGAAAATAAAATTGGGAATGAACATTTATGCTTACAGAACCGTGAGAACTTATACAAGACATATCACATAACTACATCTTCAAACATTTACATAGCTTTCAAGAATACTTTAAGCTAATGCTATAATCAATATAATTTGCTTAGTGATGAATTTAAACAAAATACAGTTTCCAGAAAAGTGCTGCATAACGTACTGTTAGGAGTGCCCTTGAAAATATTAATTAATATGATCAATTTCAATTTATATTATGACATGAGAAAGCAAGTCTGAGAAGTATAGTCTAAAACTTGTACAAGGCTCAGATCAGCATTGCCAAGGATACTACAATCTGATCAGATGGTTGCTTTCTGCTAAATATGCTTACAATGTAGGTATAAGCTAGACCCTAAGGCATTGACAGTGGGAGGAAATAGTGGCACTACAGAAGTTTTGAGGTTCAAACAGGATTTATCAGGATGGATGCTAGGTCCTTGATGAAAGACTCCTCTATGAAAGTGCATGTAGGTGAGTTATCATTCAAATTTCTAAACATTTTAATCCCTAGAAAATAGCCTCAGGAAGTTGTAGTTAGCTGTCGATGGGGCCACAATATCGTTGCAAAGTAGATCCGATTTTGATAATTCCAGGTAGCAATATATATAGCTTATGGTTACCAAACCTTATCCTAAAGGCTTTAGCTCAGTCACATTGATTCAACATGTTAAGATGCTATTCATCCTTTTAGTTTCCAACAAACAACAAAAGCAATGCGTATATGGATATCTACAATTTATGACCTTGGCTCTAACCCAGTAATTGAACTGGGTACACAAATTGTACAAAAAAAAAAAAAAAACAAGCACTATGATTTCACTCCCGTTTACAATATTTCCATTTGTGTAATTTTCAAAATAATAATTAAAAAAAAAAAGCATCTCTTCTTTCTTGATTCGAGATACCGCTGCTTGCCCATATGAATTCAGTGGAATTTCGGAACACACAAGACTTTGCCTCAGAATTGCGAGTACTGGGTTTCAAGATCTAAGGGTTTGACGGATATTGGAGGATATGCTCTAACCTAGCGTTCTTGAGTGAAGATGTCGAGATTTACCTTCTTGAGTAGTTAGCAACGACAGGAAGGACCTTGATTTCAAGTTCAAGGATTCTATTTGGGGAATGTCTGGACTTGTTCGAGCTTCTCTTTTCTGGATTTGGGGGAGTTGAATTGGGAAAGGCGTGTGATGAAGGGGAGAGGCGTGATTTTAATGATGATGTGGTCGATTATTTGGCATGTCATTTACAATTGTCGGGATTTAACCGGCCAGCTGGATTTTTCGTCAGCCACGTAGACAGGTCAATTAACGGATCTGACCCGTAGTGAATAGTAGTAGGCAATAACGAATTCAAGTTCGGTGGCCAATGGGACAAGTTTGAAAGTTCGGTGAGTAAACCGTGACATAGTTCAAAGTTCAGTGGCTAATGAAACATTTAACTCAGAAACTTCCCACTGATTTTGTTGAATGTTCAATTGAAAAAATTTTGAGTTGTAATTTCTCAAATTATTCTATGGACGTGAATGTCGAGAACTTACTGTAGGTTTTGCAGAACAAGTTAGAAGATGATTGGGTAGGAGGTGGGGGTAGGGCGAGGGAGTGGGATGGGGGAAGATCAATAGTAGCTTGAGATTTTTTTAAATTTAATTCTTTGATTTTAATTTCTTTTCATAAGAAAAATGTAAAATTACATATTTACCCTTTAAAAATTGGTCAACAATTGGTTAGATATTTAATTATTGGTCAACTTACGGTCAAACTAATGGTTTCTGTGAATTTGGACTCCGAGTGCGAATTGTTTAAATGTTTAGTACTGTGAATGGTACAAATGAAAGGTTTGGGCAAAATCTGCAAAAAATTGAAAGGTTTGGTACCGTGACTGCAATTTTTCCTAAAAATTATGGATGTAAATAGCGGCTCAAAAAAAAAAAAAGATCTTGAAGAAGTTGTAGCACTTGGGATGTTTCCATTTTCTTATTCGCGATCACCTTTTCAAGAGCCCTGCTATGTGTATAGAGAAAGAGCTACCATGCCTTTTACAGGGAACACTTGACAATTTTTAACTGGTAGTTGATAAAAAAAAAAAAAACAAAAAACAAAAAGCCACCACGCGGATGCTGTCAATGCAACATCTATAGAAACCCAAATAGTTATTACCACGTGTAAGGGGAATAACTCTCTTTTTAATTCATCCATGAAAATTTTATGAACTAAAAAGTTGATAATCAACTTTGTTGATTAAGAATAATAATAAGATATAATTAGCAAATAGTTCTTTTTCTTTTGAGTAATTTTTCTAGCAATGGCTAGATCCACGAAAGAGATATTTCTTCATTAATCAACATTTTGTATGTGAAAATCGTCATTGCCACTTGAAAGTTGGATTTTTTATCTCTTTCAATTTTAGATTTTTGCTCAAATCCTACTACAATTAAGTTAATTTTGAAGAGAGCGAAGGTTGAATTTTTGGTGTCTCATTTACGAATTTTTGTGCGTGGACATCTATGAAAATTTTGTGAACTAAAAAGTTGAGAATCAACTTTGTTGATTAAGAATAATAATACGATATAATTAGCAAATAGTCTGTTATGACATGATAATTATTTTTCTTTTGAATAATTTTTCTAATAATGGCTAGAGCCACGAAAGAGACATTTCTTCATTAATCAACATTTTGTATGTGAAAGTCGTCATTGCCACTTGAAAGTTGGAATTTTTGTCTCTTTCAATTTTAGATTTTTGCTCAAATCCTACTACGACTAAGTAGATTTTGAAGAGAGCGAAGGTTGAATTTTTGGTGTCTCATTTACGAATTTTTGTATATAGGGATAAAGAAGAAGAAGAATAAAATGTAGATACATTCATAATTTACGTCAACTTGGACTTCATATTGGTCAAGCACAATCTTTTTCTTTTACAAGAAAGTATATTTGAACTAAATTTATTTCAACTTTCACCAAGAAAAAAAAAATATAGAAAAAAAAAAAATATCTTCATTTCTAAAGGATGATATAATATAGTAATTACAACAACAAATACCAGATTTTCCCAACAAAGCTAGATCGTCTCAAATTTATCATGAGATTTCACCAAGTTTAATCATGCAATAAATTTGTATATCTACAAATGTATCTATAATATATTAAATATCCATCAAGTGAGAATCATTTTTTGAACGATTATAACTTAAGTATAATTCAATTATTTCAATAATACTTTATTTTTCGTTTTTTAGTATATATTTAATTTATTTAACCATTTATCTACTATCAGTATACATGTACATTTTACATATTCATTTAATCTGCGTGTTTACATTAATGTATGAATTCCCTATTATTAATTATCAATTAATTAACATTATCATTTATTTAATTAATATTCATCTTCATTTATGCATTTCAGTGTTGTTAATTCTAATTATAAACTAATCAAAATTTCACATTCAATAATACATTTCATTATTCACGTCAATGTTTGCTAATTAACGTCCAGTTTTAATTAATTGAAAGTTAAATAAATGATTTAATATTTATTTTCACATATATATTCCATGATATTAATTCTAATTTAATTAACATTCACGTATATTGTTCGCG